CCCCCTGGAACAGATGGTGGGAGATGCAGGACTGAAGCAGGGAAGAGAAAGCCCTACTTGCATGCATTGGCTTCTGGGTTGTCTCTACATATCATCATGTGTCCTTTCTTAGTCCTTAATGGCTATGAGTTGAGCTGTCTGAGGATCCTACGTTAGGAGAATGTCCCCTTATTTTCTGGCAGAGTATATATTAATACAATTAATCTCATTTACCTCTAACCCAGCACAGGAATCACTGTGACTTTTTAAAATTATTACATTCATGTAAGCTGCCACAAAAAAAGTTGTGTTTGTCAATATGGCCAGGGGAGAACAGGCATGTTAGAAACTTGTCAGAATAAATACTGAGATGAAATACAAATAATATATTTAATTTCATGTCTCTCATGTGGTACATGCCATTGCCACAATTTTCCTTAACTATTACTTATTCAATTTATCTGCTGTATTTATGTAGATTTAGTTAGTATGTAATTGTTTTCCCTCGAAATAATCTGAAATAAGTTGCTTTGTATCATTTTGCCTGTAGCTACTAAAATGTGAAATGTCAGTAGAAAATTTTCAGTGCCTCTGCTATTTCTTTCTCATCAGGTGGTGGTTTTCTCGGACTTGCAGGTTGTAGAAATTTGTTTATCGTAGGAATGTTGCTAATTCTCTCTTTAAAAGCCTAGCAAGAAAGATAAATAAATTCTGTCATTCACAAGCACTGCAATTACATAGCAAGAAAATCTGACACCTGAAAAATTCCTGTGACTTATGAGCAACGTAAAAATACCACTCCTGCATGATCAGTAAGGACCTGGCTTGCAGAGGAAATATTTGCACCTTAGCCCCTCTGATTTAAATTATGTTCCTTTGAAGAATTCCATTGCAAACCTTTAATTAGAAGCACATCTCATGTATCCACAACTGATTCACAAATGGGTGGTTGATGAATCAGGCCTCATATGTCCTTCAGTCATAATCCCGTAGACCCTTAGGCCATCATTCAAAGATAGTGTGATATCCAGATGTTGCATAATGGACTTAGAACAACACTGGACAAAGTCCAGCCCATGGGCAACATGTGTCCCCCCAAGGCACTTTTCCTAACCACTGAATCCCCAAAGGAAAGAGGCTACAAAATGTGCTCTTCCACTTCTGGGGTCTGCTTGCAGTCTATGGAAGCTGCATGTTGGGCTTCCCCTAGCTTCTTCCCTCCTGGTATAGGAAATAATCTTGTTGAAAGGTGTTAAATCCACCATCCTTCAACCCTCTACAAAAGCAAGGAAGACATATAAACAGCAATCGTACTGTGATTGTAAGTTAATACAATATGTATATTTAAATAATGCCATTTCACATCTAAATTAATGTAAATCTTTAATTTAAAAAAAAACCCAAGATTTTCACAGACTTGTTTATTTTGAATTATTTACTGATTTATTTCGCAACTTGGGTGATTGCCATTTTGGACTCTAGCTCCCACCAGTCTCACCCATGACACCAATGTTAAGGGATTCATATGAGTTAATTTAAAATATCCAGAGGACCAAAATGTCCCCACCCTTCACTCTGCTAGATGTGACTGCTTTCAGCTACCTAGTTGTTCTGTCCCTGCTGGGTTTGAAAGGTTCATCTGAGCAACTGTGGACATGAAGAACCTAGTAAATATTACCATCGAGCTACATTTTTACAGTTAAGGGCACGTTATGAGATGCCACCTTACCTTTAAAAATGGGAAGCTGGAGAGAGCATCAGCCTTCAACTCTTCTACCTCTAAAATGGTTTCAAGCAACTTGACATCTGCTTTGCTGAGCTGATTTCCCACAAGGAAATCTTGTCCGTGATTTTTCAGGATCTACAGAGGAGGAAATGTTTTAAGAGGTTTTTAGTGCTTCACAGAAATATATGTTCCAGAAATATGTTTGAATTGGAGATGGGGCTATTTGTATACGAATATCCCCATCTCTCGTTTGAATCACTTTTGAAATCACCAATCTGATCTATACCTGATCATTAAATGGGAACAGCACTGGGTTTGAACAGCCATGATGCAAAGCAAAGTAAAACATTCTCCTTATATCCCACCCCATAGCACTTAAAGCACACTTTGGGTAGTTTACAATATAATTAGTCAAACAACACTTTCTGAATCAAGTGAGCTTGGTACTCAGTTTACCAACCTCTGAATGATGGAAGGCTGAGTCAATCTCTGAACCCAATGGGATTGAACTCAGTTGTGAACAGAGTCTTAACCTCTAATCTGGATGATACTGGATCATTAAATGAGAATAGCATTGGGTCTGTACAGCGATGGGACAATTTTGAACACAACAGAAATGCAATGCTATAACAAAACAATCTGATTGTGCTCCACTTGCTAGACAACTGCATTGCAAATTGTTTAAACCTTTCTCTTTCTAATCTTGGTTTTCTCAAACCATTGGAAGTCATTCTTTATTTCATTCTAGTTAACTCAAGAGTACCCAAACTCACATGAACCCTTCCTGTGATAATGTACTGTATAGTTGTAGGCTTACTGCTTTGTACCTTTTCAAAGGCTGGGAAGTATCTGTTATTGGCCTTTTCAAGGATCGTTGTTAATTCCTTCTCCTTAGTATCAGCTGGTTTGTAGGGCAGTATCATAATCATTTCACTCAGATCCGCAGCACCCTCAAAATACATATCAATTCTGTAAAGACAATGTTCCCATAATATTGAATAGCCAGTTTTGAAACGAATCAAATTTATATACCTCAGTTTTTCCTAGTGGAAGTGCTCCTTCCTTTCAACTATACTGACCTAATTACAAATTAATGGGAATACTACTGATGACTGATTATAACAATAGAAAATGTCAATACTAATACAAATACATTGAATTACATATATAATCTGTACAATGAACACCCTGTATGATAAATCATCAGTAACCTCTTGTCTTCTTCTCCAAGATGGACAGGACTCCATAATAGTTATTAAGAGCACAATTTATCTAAAGTAGGATGCAATAGCAGAAATCCTGTTGCTTTAACTTACAACATGTAAGGCTGATGACATCATAAAGTAGAACAATATTTTTGGAAATTAAAAATTTCTAATCCACCATCACTCAAAAGGTTCCAAAGCTACTCTGGGATCATCATGTGAAATCCACTGGGATTCCATGAAGGGAAGGAAAAGTTGTCAATAATTCCAAAATTCAGTACCACTGGCATGACTTTACCAGGAGCAGCTATTCCTTGAAATTAAAGATTTCTCCTGTGCCCCCAATGGCTTCCCCACAATAAAAGGGATCCCAACGGAGCCCTGGGACCTTAATGGGGGCAGGCAAAAGTTTCCTAATCCAATTGCGCCTTTTGCAGATGAAAATCCCCTTTCCAATTTTTTTAAGTTCCTAGTTCTTGCTCATTCTTTGTCCTTGGGAACTTCAGCAGGAAAGGATGTTGCTTGTCCAATACTAGAGCAGACTCTTCCAAGAGAGGCTAAGCTGGCCCATCTCCTTGTTGCTCTCACAGTGGGTGATTGTTTGTTTGGTGGGCTTTTGGCAACGGATGAATTGTTTAACTGTCTTGTGGTATTTAAAGACCAAGCTTTCATAAATAAACTTACAACAAAACCCTTCAATATGCCATCCAGAATTCAGTGGGGATTAAGGAATTGTATATAAGATTGTAGCCTTATAGGTAATGTTTAGATTTCGATATAGAAAACCCTCTAAGAAAAATCTCCTGTTATATTTCTCATATAATATGAGAAACAAAGAGGAATTTTTGGAAATAGAGCATTGAACTCCATTTTATGGGAATTACATGGAAGGCTAGAGCAATGGTGGGCAACATTTGGCCACCGGATGTTGCTGAACTAGCTTCTGTTTTCCTTTACCAATGACTATAATGGCTCAAGGTGGTGAGGGTTGTGGTCTAACAACAGGTGGACAGGCAGACGTTTGCTGCTCCAGGCTACATCACAAAATCTTGAAAAACAGCACTGACCCCAAATTATTTTGTTGTCAGAGCAGTTTTATTCATTCATCTGGCCTTGCTCTCCCCCCTTTGGACTACCTATTGTAGGTTGTAGCCCCTTCATATCATCAGGAACACATCAGGAAATGTGCCCCAGCAGGAACTCATGGGAAGCACAGGAGCCATTACTGGGCAGTAGCTCAGTAACAGAAGATAACAGTGGTAACTCATTATCTAAAAGAACCAGCTAATGTGAACTCTGTTATGACTGAGAGGTCAAGTGACTTAATATTGCCACTCTGTGCGTTTTCTTGTGCTAGCTGGCAGTGGGAGTCAGTTGAAGCACATGGACTTCTAGTTTGTCAGGAGATCGCCAGAGAAACTGGAGATTTTTTCCTACTGTCATCCACAGGAAACAAAACTAGCCCATCTAGTAACCAAATACAGAAGGGTTACAGTACAAGGCTTTCTCCTTGATGTCTTTCCCATAGAGGTTGTATTTTGCCGCAATGTAGTTGATAATGGCTCGGGTCTGCACCAACTTCATCCCATCTATTTCCACCATAGGCACTTGCTGGTACAGGAGGCTACCATCTTGTAAAAGAACAAAAATTGGAGAAAGAGAGATAAAAAAGGAAGGAATTATTAGAATGCCTGGATTAGGAAACATTTTCTGAAACCAGATGAAAAATAAATTTGCCCTTAACTTGAACTGGAACAGTATCACAATTTAGTAGCACAATTCTATAGCGTAATTCAGAATCATGTTGTAAGGTGTGGCAAATTTTGTAAGGATAAATAAAAATGTTTTTGAATCCTAAAAGGTAAAGGTAAAGGTTCCCCTTGACAATTTTTGTCCAGTCGTGTTCGACTCTAGGGGGCGGTGCTCATCCCGCTCTTCAAGCCATAGAGCCAGCGTTTGTCCGAAGACAATCTTCCGTGGTCACATGGCCAGTGCGACTTAGACACGGAACGCTGTTACCTTCCCACCAAGGTGGTCCCTATTTATCTACTTGCATTTTGCATGCTTTCGAACCACTAGGTTGGCGGGTGCTGGGACAAGTGACGGGTGCGCACTTCGTCACGTAGATTCGATCTTACGACTGCTTGGTCTTCTGACCCTGCAGCACAGGCTTCTGCAGTTTAGCCCACAGCGCCACCACGTCCCTTTTTTTGAATCCTATATATCATCAAAACAGACCCCACCAAACATTCTGATGCCCTACTCACCCTGTTGTAATTTTTGCAGGTCTGCTTTTGTTTGTAGATATTGTTCTTCAAACTATGGAACAAAGAAGTACAAAAGGGTCTCATAAAGTAAAAGTAACTGCACATTCCCAAGCCCTTCTGCTTTTTCCAATTTTCTAACATCATGTTTGATAAGAACTACTGGTGCCTTGAGTTTTGAACTTAATTCATTCCGGATGATGGTTGTAACTCAAGTTGGTTGTAACTCAAAGCACTATTTCCCATAGGAATACATTGAAAAGCGATTAATCCATTCTGGCCACTTTTTTGGTTGTATCTCAAGGCGCTGGTTGTATCTCAATGCATTAGCTCCCATGGGAAATACTGTAATGCAAAAGCGGTTAATCCATCCACTAGGGGGAGACTTTTTAAAACCTAAAATGACCTCTAAGGTTAAAAAAAGGGCAGGAAAGGAGGGAGGGAGGGAACAATGGGGAAAAGAGACCTTTTTTCCAGTTGTATCTCAAAGTGTTGTTTGCATGTCAAAGCAAAATGTTGCGACCGGAGCTGGTTGTAACTCAAATTGGTTGCAAGTCAAGACAGTTGTAAGCCGAGGCACCACTGGTACTGGAAGCCTCTAACTAATCATTCCATTCATGATCACTTGTGTAGTCTTTGAGAAAGGGACACCCTGTGTATGTTTTAGAGAAATTTTAAATGTTCTTAAATTAGTTAGCTTTGTGCCTTCAAGTTGGAAGGGATTTAGTGTGAATTTTCTTTTCAAGGGACTGAATGCCAATTTATTTATTTAAATAGGGGCTCAGCCCTGGGAGTAGACAACTTTATTGTTGTTATGTACTGTCAAGTCAGAACTGATTTATAGTGACCCTAATAAGGCTTTCAAGTTAAGTAAGACATTTAAGGAGTGGCTTCACCAGTTCCACTCCCCCGGTGAGTTCCCATAGCCGAATGGGGATTCAAACCATGATCTCTAAAGTTCTAGTACATCATTATATCTGCTGAAACACACTGAGTGTTCTTAAGTTAGTGGTCTTTTAAATGTAATTATTTTTTATTTCATATATTATACGTTACTGGGCAACATCCTGTTGTGTAAAGTTAAACTGGTGTGCTGGAAATAATTTAAGCTAATTCAGGGCTTCTTTTCCCTATTCCTCTCCAGGTTCTTAGGCTCCTTATGGCTTTCTTCTGTACTAGGGAAACCTTTGGGAACCTCTAGGCAGGCAGAGGAAGCCTTCCACAGTGAAAAATTGCTGCTGGGACATTGCCACCAGCATCAGGACTGCCCCTGTTGATCCAATGCTGATTTTTTGAAGTCTCCCCACCTCCTCATTCATCCCAAGGCTCATGGTGGCCAAATCAGCTACCGTAGGTGGCCCATTTACTCTGACTAATGTTACAGCTGGCCTCTCAAGCAGGCATAGAATGAAAAGCTGATGTGGCAACTCCTATATTGGTGTAAAATTTAAAAAGGGATTGGTAAAATTAAAAGAGAAATCTCTCACTCTCGGTACAATGTAGCATGAATGTAAAAAACCTTTAACTTCATGCCAACAATAACAAGAAAAATGTAGGATGTTTTTGTCCCATCTGTAATAGACCTTAGACAGACATCAGCCACTGAGGGAAAACAAACCTCAATGCCAGCTGCCGCCAACAGCCACCGTACATCTTCCATTCGGCCTCTTCCATAATAGTAGTGGAGCTTCGGTTTCCCAGCCATGCTGTCAAGCTTTTGCTTTCCTGGTCTGATAAAAACAAGATTGTTTTTTTTTTAAGAGACCAGAGAGGGAATACAACAGCTGCATTTAGTTTCTAGACTGTAGTTCTTCACTGCCATACTGGATAATCTCTTAAATTTCAGTTAGGGGCTGCTCATGATTTGGGGGGGGGGCTTGCCTCAAAATTTTGAGGGACACCCCCTTGCCTTGCTCAGGACTGGTCTACCATTTCAGTTACCTCAAAGTTCCTCTCATGCCTCCTAAATCTTTGGCAGCTGCAGAGTTTCAAAGGAATACAAAACAACCCGTCTAGTTTCCAAAAAGCAGGCTTTCAGATTGACTGTTACAGATTGATTTGTAACCAGGCCCTCATTTCAACTCCAGCAGCTCGTTACTGTTTTTTGTAGCCTGAAGGGCAGCACACTGAGTTTAGTGAGGCCCATCCCTTATTAAGCAGGCACAGGGTTGTCTTAAATTACAGAGCAAACATCTGGAAAGACGTGGCTTAATTATCAGAATAATTACATTGACAGCTGATGTATCCAAGGGCCTCACTCTGAAGGGAAAGCGGAAAGCGACTCACTTCCAGCAGGTGCTCTTCTCGTCTCCCGGGGAGAAAGTCAGCGGACCCGCACAGGAAGCTGCGAAGTCCCGGCTGGGTCCGCGCCCGGGGGGACGGGGTGGGGGCGTGCCTTTCCTTCCAAGGCGGAAAGAAGCCCGGAGAGGGAGGTCCGCCCCCGTCCTTTCCGTTTCCTCCCGTCGAGCCTCCGAGGTTCCTGCGCCAGCCCGATGGGCTCAAACCCTGGAGCGACGTTGGAGCCGCGACCGGGAAGCACTGGGGGTCCGCTTGCGACCCACAAGCCCGCCTTCCCTCTCCCCCCCGCGTCGTCCTCCCCCTTCGGGAAGAGCCCCGCACACACACATCCCGCCCGGGCTCTGCCGCCCTCCTTGGCCCGGCCAACCCAGGCTGGTCGCCTCCTTTCCGTCCCCACTTCACAGAACATTTTTTTTTGGGGGGGGGGAAGGGGAAGAGACCGGGAGAAAGACAAGACGGCAGACTTCTCACAATGCTGTGAGGGAGGCCGTGCACTGGCGCGGTGAACGCTTCGAGTGCAGCTGGCGCCCTGAAAGGCTCTGCAGACGCACACGAAAGGGATGCGCCTGGAAGCGCTGCCTGTGCCGTGCCTGTGCGGGACCTGCTCCTCCTGCCCCCGAGGAAGTGGCGCTCGCCCTAACCTAAGGCGCTTTCTAAAGCGCGCGTACATGCGCCCCCTTCACTGACCTGAGTGGGAGCCCTGGAACCTCGTCAAGCTCTTCTCGAGGCCCCACCAGCTACGCCTGACACCCCCCCTCTCCCTCCCCCGCCGGAGCCTCGGCTATAAAGCCCTCTCCCAGCCCGCCCTCCCGCTCCGGAGGGACAAGGGCCACCCTTGGGGAGCGGCAAGGGCGAGGGTCGGCCGCCAGAGACAGCGGCTGTGGAAGGGCCGTCTTCCAAGCCTGAAACGCCCCGGGAGAGATGGCGCAACCACGTGCCATATGGGCAAAATAATGTGCAGTTTGTATTAGAAATCATTGGGAACATATCTTTTCATAGACTGGACAATACATGGTGGTGACCTTCTCAAGAAATTGGAGCAAGCTGCTTCATTGCCATCAAGTCCACGATCCCTTCCACATACAGTGCTTTATAGAGAGGGCTTTTTTGGCAACCTTACTTAAGGTATTCCTTTGCTGCTCTGCTTGTTTATATGTCCATGCCACATTTTATTTTGCAATTTCTGCCTCTTGATGCTGTTGCTTGAGTGTTGTTTATGTTGTTTATATTGTTTTTAATTTGACTTATCGTTATTGTGTTTTAGCTGACTATAAACTGCATTGCACTAATGGGGTAGTATGCAAATTAAGTCCTTCCCTCCCTCCCTCCCTACCATGTTAATATGGAGGGGAAATGACAACTTTTGAATTGCAAGTCATTAGAGAGAGAAGGTACACTTATCTCCCATTAATGGGAGAACCTACGCTTTAATTGGCATTAGATTCAGCTTAGCTAAAATTAGTCCTTGGACATCAAGTGGTATTTCCAGTCTCTCTTTTTAAATAACTTATTCCTTTCTAAATCACATCAGTTTTTCAGGATTGATGCACATCCACCTTTTCACAATACATTGCAAACCATAATCTATGATCTATTTAATTGACACAAATCTTTAGGAGACTTTGAAACAATGTTATCAAATATATAGTCTTACATAGACCTCAGCAGTAATGTTACAAGTTCTAATAAGGAATAAACAACAATAATGAGGGACTTTAAAAAATATCAAACAATAAAAAGCAAGCAGGGCTCTCTAAGATGCCCCAGCTGGCATCAAGCCCATAACATCCTTGGGCGGCCCAGGCCCAGCGTTACTGGCAGCACAGAATTACAAGCCACCGTTTTAACTTTCCCACCACATTCAAGAACATTAACTGAAGCATTACTGCATGGCCTTGTGAGAATGGTCACTGAGTGGTGCTGCTTGGAAAAGCTTCACCCCAAGGGAAAGCCTCCAAGCACCAGAAGGTTCCCCCCCCATTGGGGGGGGAGAGGGCCCCCTCTCTGGCTCAAGCCTGTAGTGATGCTTCCTCCACGCACAGAACCCATGAAAATGAGAGGTGGAAAATCTTGTTTTGGTTACAGCAGCTCAAGTCCATACCTCATGTCATAGAGGAAGAGAGAAACATGCACCATGCTTACTTTCACACTGAGAATCACAGAGCAAGCTTTTCCCCAGCGACATTACATCAGTATACAGAGGAGTTGACTCACTAAATCCACACTGATTCTTTTTTTTTTTGTATTTTTTATTTTTTATAAGGGATAACAAAAAGGAAAAGGGAATTGGGATTGATGAGGAAGAGGGGAGACAATAACATACTTTCATCCATTCTGTACCTATTGCCATATCAAGATTTTAAATTATTCTATTTACTCTTTTCTGCCTTCTAGATTCAGTTGCCTCTGAGCACCTAACTTAACAGATCTTGGTATCCGTATGGGATGGATGGAGTACTCAATTTGTTTTCCCAGAAGCTTTGTCGCCTATTGGCAGAGAGTTTGTTTGTTTACACACACATACACACATACACACCAATACCATAAGATGCTATAAACATCTACTGTTCTCATTCATTTACACTCGTTCTCATTCATTCACAATAGGCTAAACCTGGTAGTGTGTCCTTCTAAATTTTCTCACAGCTCAATAGGCAAAGAGCCAATAAACAGGATTTTAGTATGGGATGGGTAATGACACTACAAATGGAAGAGAAACATTAGGGCTGTTTTGGATGCTAAATCAGAAGTGGAAAATCTTCTAGATTCTTTTTCCTCTAGCCCTATAACAGCTCTTTCTCATGGGACATGCATGTGAATGCTTTAATACTGTAATTGAGCATTTTAATACAGCTGTCAAGTCTAGTACAATGAATTATAACATTATATAATATACTCTCTTCTTCAGGTCTTTCCAATGGAGATTGTATTTCCCTGTTCTGTAGCTGAGAATGACCTTGGTCTGGACCAGCTTCATCCCATCCATTTCTACCAATTGAACTTGATCAAACAATAAATATCCATCTCTAGAAAATAAAATCAAAATGCAAAATTATTGATCATTCATATAATATACAATAGTTGGAAGACTTAGGAAATGGGGTATAGTCCAACACACGGAGTTCAGTACTTTTTACTTGGCTGAACTTTCTACCAGAAGTCAAAAAAAGCCAGGTTAAATTTTACCAAATACCAAATCTGCTTTAATTTTACACACTCTTAATTTTGTCATCAGAACTGCATGTAAAGTGTGCTTCTCATTACAAATAGACTGGGGATTGTTCAAATGCCAGACAAACAGAACTGAATTTCTATCTTCTTATGAATAATTATTGTGGCACTTTCAGTATCTACACTGTACTTAGGGTTAGAACTTCCGTGTATGTGTCTTGTACTCCCTGAATCCACCAATGATCTACCACCACCACCACCACCATGGGGGCAACCTACTGAAAACCAGAAAATGGAACTTCAGCTTCTTGGTCTCAAAAGCAACTTGGAATGTTGTTTGTCTCAATATGTCACATTGGTCAGGGCAAAAAGTTCACCAAAGGGAAAAAATACAATAATTTTGTCATTATTTTCTTTTTTTGTTGTTTTTGATCCTAGTACTTTTGTTCTGTTGGAAGAACAAGCAAACACTACATAGCATGTAACCAAAATTTGAATGGCGTTCTTTACAATTGTTCAAATGACAATGTCAGAGAACACCTACATTCTAGCTCTTTGTGAATTCTGCAACAGAACTCTAGAGAATTAAAATATCTTATCCTGCCCATGAGAGTTAAATCCTAAAAGGAAAAGAATGGCCAATATATAAAAGAAGCTATTGACTGTATATCACTAACGGTAGATAAGCAGAGTGTTCAGATGGTGTAGTTCCGGCTACACTGCCCACAGTTTATCAACTGTACTGGACATGCTGCACTTTTACTATCATATAAACACACAATGCACTTGGAAGAGTATGAAAATAAAACATTTAAAAAAGAATTGCAACTCTCTTATGTGTTCTTACTTGAAAGCAAGTCCCATTAAGCTTGATGATGCCTACTCCCAGGAAAATATGATTCAGGCAGGACTACACAACTAAGTGCTAGTTTCTGGGTGTTTCAGTTGAAAATGTGAAGTGCACCAGGTTGCTTATCTCCAGCCAATAGATTTTACATTACAGTGTCCTCCTTCTCTACTCAGAAATAAATTCCACTTAATTCAGTGATGTTTATTCCCAGGAAAGTATGTGTAAGTATTAGGTTGCAAACTTTAATGTTAGCCAAAAATGACGGTATCAGAACATTCCCAACTTGTTTTTAATTTTTTCATTGTCCCAAATGAATAAATCAGGGAATAATTGAGTTGGAAGGGACCTATAAGGCCATTGAGTCCAGCCCCCTACTCTGTGCAGGAATCCAAATCAAAATAGATCTGACAGATGGTAAAAGTGACTCTCTCCTTGAGAAACAGACAGGTTACACATATTTTGGATTCAAAAGGGTGTGATCGAGGATTGCTCACTAGTGATTTGAGACCGGCAATTAACAAGCTATCTCTGTAGGTTTGGAGGTTTGCTGTTGGCTTTTGGAAGGCACTCGAAGTTTTCCAACGTTGGATAGTTTCCTCTAATTGCCTTGCACTAACGTGGAGATGCTAGGCAGAAATCTGCCACAAAAGGAAA